TATTTAAGAGTATGGATACACTGAAAAGCAATGTGTTGCAGAATGCCATCCAAACCCAATCAGACAAACTAAGAATGTGCTTCCTCTCTAACCAGCATACAATAAAAAGCTTTCTGTAATGTCTTTAATCCAAATGTACATATTGAGCATCTAATTTGCTAAAGGTCACAGGTTCTGGAAAGAAATATTAAAAGTAGAATGAGTAAGACTCAGTTGGATTTGGAAGGGATATGCAGACTTGAGCCTGAAAGTTGAATATGACTTGTGTCTGATGACAAGATAATCAAAATCTAATTTTGGTGTTACTGGGAATAGAAGCAGCAAGTCAAAGCCTAGTTAGTCTGAGAACCTGTGACAGCAACTAGCCCCACCATACAGCAGCATATCAGTCACTGCCAAACACAGAATACCAGACCACAATAACTTTCAATCTGGACAAGCTTAATCACTCTCATGAAACGTTCCTACTGCAATGTGCTTCTTTGGATGTGTCCCAGTAAATTATTTGGTGAAAGATTTATGATGTGAAGAAGAACGAGAAGTAAAAACAACATTCATTTTTCTCAGCAATCAGAGTTGCCCTAAAGTAGGCTGTAAAAAATAGAAGGCAGATTCATCAGACTGGTTTGGGCTGCTTTGGATTTGGGGTTTTGGTTTTTTTTTATTGATTTTTTTTTTCCTTCAAGAAACCTATTGAATATATATGGAAAAGAGATGCAGTATGAAATACCCAAGAGATTATGAGTAGTATGGCATGGTAACATAACTGCACGTGGAAGAAAACTGAGTGCATTACACTTCCCAAGTGCCCCTCTCTGAGAATTCTACCAATATAACAATTTTCTATTTGATGTTAATAAAAATACTGGACAATCTTAAGGGATGTTATAAGAAACTTATTATAATCATTGTCACTACTAGTTTCTAACTCCTGTTAACATACCTATAGCGTTAGAAAAGATTAGAAAGCATGTTTGTACATATAAAAGAATAAAAAATGGAATTTGAGCTGACATACAGAAAGGAATTGGCTGCTGTTCATTACTGAAATTATCTCACTATACAAAAAGAGATGCAGTCACATACACAAAGCAATTCAACTGTGGTAAAAAAGCCAAAATATGTCAGAAGGCTGTTAGGTCCAGTTTAACATGATTGTCTTTTTTAGACTTCTTTTTACTAACTTCAATCATATACTGTAGTTGTTCTAACGTTTCACAGCAGAGATTTACTGCTAAACTAGGTCTGACCTGAGAATGAGAAAGCAGTCCATTCACTGTAACTATTGGCTAATAAATTTTGCATCAGCTGAAGCCTGGCTCAAGCAGAAACAAAATCCATGAGCTACGAATGCCAAGCAGGGAACTCTGGAAAAGCAAAGTTTTCAATCACCCCTTTGAAGCCCAGTTTAAAACTCTTAACAACTTATTACAGTGTTCTTTTAAGTACAATTTGGTTACAAAGAATACTTGAAGAAAAATTGCCTTTCAAAGCAACCTCTTTAAAGAGCTTTTCTAAAATCCTCATTTTTTTTTGCCTTACAGGAAATCTACCTTCACTGTGCTGTGTCAGCAGATGAAGTAAGAAAGAAGGTATTTTCTTTAAAAAGAAAAAAAAAAGTAAAAAAAAAAAAAAGTTAAAGTTTGATAATTGGTTCTCTTTGCTGGAAAAATACATGGCATAGAGAAAATTCACATATTACCAGAAGATTGTAAAATATTCAAATATTCAGAGGTGGCTGAATCATTGTCAAGCTTTTGACATATCCTAGTAGAAAGTATAAAAGTTTCTATTCATCTTAAAATACAGCATTCAAAAAAGGACTCCTCCACTTTAAATAAATCTTGTGATGTTTGAACGTTCTCTCAGATTCACTGAAGGGCTGCATTTTTGAGATTGATTGACTAATGAATATCCAGTGCAGGTGCTGAATTACGAATACATTTCTATCTATAGTTTACTATATTAGGGAAAATCTAAGACAAATTAATGGCATGGACCTGTCATTTTAGCCAAGAACCTGAACACCTGTTTTGAAGATGGCTGGAAAAAAAGCTCGACACAAAAATACTAAACTTATCCTGGATCACTTTGTACAAATATTATTACCGATACATTAAAAACAACTTTAAAAGTGGGATTCTATTATTTAGAAAAATTACAGGTAAACATCTTAGAAAAGATCACAGTAAAAGTTATGCCAGACTAAGGAGCTTCAGGTAATATACAGTCATGTCATCCATCAATCCTTTATACCAAAACTTCCAAATCCCATGCCAGAAAGCAGCATCTACGCCAAAGAGGAACATACTTCGGTAGGCGCATTGGTCAGCAATTAGTAAATAAGCTTATTTCAAAACATGCAAATGATGACAAGCTTTAAAGTTATATTCTCAGAGCTAAACTTCCAACAACATTTAATTTTCTTATCAAATGCTTTATTCACACTAGCTTCCAGAGGGATTTCTATTTCGGAGATCTACTCTTTCATGAAGACAATCAAGTCAGAACAGAATGACAATAAAATACTAAAGCAAACAAAATGATCTGTTTCAGACTTCTGAGCTCTGAATATAGTTTTTATTATTAGCATTCCACTGTCGAGCCATCATAAACAAAAATGGAAGTAGTACAACTTGGTCTTACGCTTCACAGATTTTCATAACTGAGTAATATATGATCAGGCAGCAGCTAAAACCAACTTCTTTGAGCAGTTCCAGTACCATGGTTAAACCAGATATTTTTTCAGGAAGTCAAATGCATGTAGCTTTGCTAACAGAAGAGACAAAATATTGAAGAAGATATCTACAATTGCTTAAAAATGTCAAGCTTTTTTTATAATAGAAGAATAAAAAATTCTCTAAAGACTATTTATTTTAAGCATGTTTATTTCCTACAGAATTTAATCCCATCAAAACACCCACTCAAATTTAGAATAAATTTACATGTATAAACTCCTAGATGTCTGCAGCTGGAAACTGCATGTGTAAGATGTAATGAACAGGATTTTCTACTGTGTGAACCACATTTTTATCCCTACAACATTAAAGTAGAAAGTGAGAACATGTACTAAGCCTTAACTTAATTTTTGCCAGTTATCTCAGATTTCATGTCAGTAGAGAAACTGTACACCCAGAAATATACCCAAGCTTTCAAATACAAGCAATTGTTATACAGACTTATTTTCTTAAGAAATTTGCTTTCTAAACTTAACAAAAGCAGGAAAAGAAGGACTTACTGCTCATATTCAACAGACATGTAGATGGCACTGAGGGACATGGTTTAGTGGTGGACTTGGCAGTGCTGGGGTAAGGTTTGGACTTCATGACCTTTTCCAGATTTTTTTCCAGCTTAAACAATTTTGTGATTCTATATTATTTAACAAAAACTGACTTTGGCTTTCTAAAATAAATGTTATTCATTGAGACACAACACCACAGACTAACGGAAAGGGGAAAAAAACATAATACGAGTGTTTCAATTCAGTTACCAACAATTTGCAGTCCCCTTCATAAAGAGGGCAGATAAGAACACATTAAGAGCAGGAGGAGGATGAACAGTTGTCAAATCAGTAATCAAGAGAAAAAGAACACCCTCATGAAATGCTGAATAATGACCTGGAAACTAAAATGAGGCACTTGAGCTGAAGCATCAATCATCCAGATAGGGAAAAGTAATACTTAGATGACTCCTGTACACAAAGGCTGAACAAACCACAGTGAAAATGGCTCCGGTAGCTCATATGATGTAGCTGCAGTTTGATGGGTTCTCTCTAGTTAAATACCTATAAGTAAAGACAGACCCTACAAGAACAGAGATTACCTCAGAAAACAGAACTGGATGTTTGATAGATCAAGCACAATGCAAACACCTCCAAATGTCTGTACACAGATGTGAGAGAAACAAGGGATTAGACAAGGGTTTAATTAGAGATGCTAATTAATGGATATTTTGATTTAAAGGTGAAAGCAGACACTGACTGCTGGCAGAATGCATTAACAAGTTGAGTGACATGATATCATATATATATAAAAAAGAGCTTTCATTGAACGATCTCCACAGAGAAGAGTAAGAACTTAGAATTTCTTGAGTCACAGTATCAGAAATATGCAGTAGGGAACTATCACATGGCTTTAACAAGCACATACATAAAGTAGTAGAGTTTCAGCAATTCAGGTTTTACTGGATAATCTGCCTTCCATAGAGGGGGCACAAAGGGCTGTACATTTGTATCTCAAAACTGCCTATACCTTACTTGATATAAAGCATATCTGATTCTTCAACTAAAACTAAACCAGGCCATTTATTTTAAAACCCATATCTAATTGTTGGCTGAATGACAATTTAATAGGTCTATTTGGTCAAGTTAACCAGATGATTGGATACTGTTCCTATGAAGCAATATCTACTAATGGCTTCAACACACGACTTCTGATTGATTCAGATAAGTGAATACCTGAATGAGAGTAAAACATTTAGTTATTGGACATAACACGTATTTAAAGTAAGAAGCCTTTTATAAAAGAAGAGATTGCTTCACCATGCTTACAAGTTCACAAAGGCAGGTTATTTCAAATATTCTAGGATCTCAATGCTGCAATAACATTAGAGCCAGTTATAAATGTAATTAAACAGGTTTTCTCCTTCCAGTTTATATGAGGTGAAGAGTGAGAAGGAGGAGTAAGCAGTGACAAAATGAAAGCAGAGGAAACAACACTCCCATTCCCACACTTAAATTATAACAGTTAGGAGCAGGAAAAGAATTCCAAGGCACCTGATTAATAGTGAATATAAGTTGGCCATATGGGATTTTACCATAACAGTGTTTTATTCTGAGAAAAGTACGTAATTTAACACAAAACAGTTGAAATGGTAAAATGGTATCCATTCTCCTACAGTTCTTTCATTAAACCTCCTTATAACACTGGTTACTTTAACAAGCAACAGAGGTTGTATACTGAGGATTACTGTAAAGAAACCAGTTCTACGTTTAAACAAACCTTGTCTTGGAAATTCATCCGACTCCCTGTGAACAAGGTCAGAAACTCGATTTCCATAGTGCATCCTGGTGTCATGATCATACGCCTTCAGTGTCTCACTTGAGCTGTAAGACTTCTGAGTTGGTACTCTGCAGTCTTCACTATCCAGTGAAGAACTTGTATAGCGACACTCTTTTCCGCACCGGCCCCTGGTCAGAGAACGGTGTCTTCTGTCTTTGATATCCATTATTCTGAGTCAGGTAGGGTGTTTTCAGAAAAGCCACTCTTATATTTGGGGCCAGTCACTGTCACCTAAAGCAGGAAAGGATAACAAAAGAGTGAGTAATGTTGTTACTAGAGTTTGTTTTATTCTAATTCCCTTCAATTATCCTTGAAGAACAAGGTGACACAGATCGAGAAGAAAGAGAAGACCCACATGACGCATCCTTAGAAATTGAAATAATCACCCTGAATGGGTGGGGGAAGAAAATAAAATGCTACAAGAGAATGGCATTGTATCTAAATTATCATCTTGTTGAAGTGTTTAAAAAATAAGGATAAAACAAAACCACTGTTATCTTTTGATTTTTGAATGAGCACTGATAACAGCACACAACTGACAGAATCGTATTTGTTCCTGTCCCTGCAACAGTACAAAGTAAAACAGACTCAAACCAGCTTTAATTCTTTCCATTCTTCCTACAGGAGGGCTTGCAATTAAGAAAGAAGCATGCAGGAGAGTTGCATAGAAGAAAATATTCCTATCCAGCATTGATGCATCACAAAGATGTGTGTTATCCCTGAACAATGTATTCAGAAGCAGCAGCTGATTCTATTGCCCCTGGATAATGTAATCGAAGCCCCTGTTCCAAACAAAAGGTGGACCAGATATCTCAGAGGTCCTTTCCAGCCTTGATGTTTCTGCGTTTTCATTATTCTCTGAAAACACTTTAGGAATTGGCTGCTCTTGGGCACCACAGAACATGACTAGAAGCTCCTCTTCACAATCTCTCAAGAAGACCAGTTTATTCATTTCAGCAGCTGGAGATCTTGAAAATTGTGTAAAAAATATCTTCTTGCTCACTGGAGCAGAAAGAGAGATTCTTACATTCTGCTTAATTAGGACACCCTTACTGTGGCATATATACTTTAATATATGCATAGTTAGCATGCATAAACCACAAAATGAAAGATACTGTTGAAAGCAAGAAATACACTAAGCATAAGCACCCTAACCACTGGGGTACTCATTATTTTGAGTTGGTATTATTTGGGTGTGTGTCTTTCTTTCATGGCATCCCATGCCCAGGTCTGTGTATTTGTCCTGAGAAACCCTCATGACAAAGCTTTTTGTTGGGAAGGAAATCTACCTACACAAAGAATACCCACATTTGCTAACAAGCAAAAATCAGAACTAAACCTCTGCTTTTCTATTCCTGGCTCAGAAGGTGAAGAAATGGTTTTGGCAAATCTAGCTGGGACAGTTGAAGACATTTTCTTTCCCGTTGTCACTACAGGATGCTCAAAAGCACTCCCCACAGAATGGGAGTAGGTCCTGCACACCAGCTGCACCCAGTCTTGGGCCAGAATCAAGAAGCGCTTCAGCAATACTATTGCTTCTGACAAAGCTACCACCAAGGTAACAAACCAGTCGTGGTAAAAACCCCAGAAGGCAGCCCTGTCTCTCACTGTTGTAGTTGTTTGAGCTGATAGGAGAGGAGGTCATAACATTGGTTTAAGTATTGCCTAAATCATGGCTTTTTGGCTGGAATAGCTTTTGTCCCTAAGAGAGAACAAACGTACTTGGCCAGAGGAACTAGTGAACTTGAGAAAAGGTTTATTGGCTTCATTTAGACTCTGACATTTAGACTTGTTGTGGGTTGCTTTTTTTTTGTTTTTGGGGTTGTTTTTTTTTCTTTCTATATTTCAAAGAAGAAAGTTAGGTAACCAGGAGAAACAGCTGCTTTAAGCCACGCACAGATACTCTGCAATCTGTGAGCAACACAAAGTGTAAACATGCTTACTTTTTTCTCCTTTCTCTCTTATTTTTAACCATGATGGTACATTTCAGAGGGGGAGAAAAGGAAAAAAACAACAAGACCACAAAAATCACAAAACAACACATCCAGAAAAGCCAAAACAAAATCAGAAGACATTCAGCCCTTAAAACTGGGAGGGTTAGTTTAGAATTTTAGATTAAAGATAACAGAAGACTCAATATATACTCCCATTTCTCACCTCTCTGACTGTCCAGTGGCTAAGCTGACTTCTCCATATCCAAATTAAGTTCAATTCTTTGATCCTGTAATATTTATTAAACTGTAAAGTATATTAACACTGGTGGCACAAACACTTGCTTGAAGTTTGAGAAGATACATGATCATTATGATTAACAATGCCTGGCTCTCTGATCCCAGTCCAGTGCTATCTCATCAAACTGAAGTATCAATAGATCACAAGTATAAAACACAGAAGCAGGTGAATGCAGCACCATATTGAGCAAAACCTGCCAGTTACTCTCTGGATGTCTTCGTGCTACTGGTCAATGCAAAAGCCTATTGCTCCACATGAAGTCTATCAGATCACAAACAGCTTTTGTTTTTATGATTGCTAAACTTTAAGCTGCCTGGCCTGATTTCTGTTGTTTTGGAAAGAACATTTAATTCCTTGTTACTACAGTTTAAAAGAAGAGTTCTGTCCTGGGTTCAGCAGTAGCAGTCATGTTTCTCCTCCTTGGTGGCTGGTGCAGTGCAGTGTTTTGACTTACGGCTCGGGAACAGAGCTGATAGAGATGTTTTGGTTTGGCCAAGGACTTTGTGAGCCTCATGCTCTGCCAGGGAGGAGGGGAAGCTGGGAGGAAGCAGAGACAGGACACCTGACCCAAACTGACCAAAGAGCTATTCCATACCACAGCACGTCATGCCCAGGATGTAACTGGGAGTTAGCCGGAAGGGCTGGGAGACTGCAGGGTTGGAGGAGGTATCGGTCGGAGCTTGGTCGGGCTTGGGGGGCGAGTTATCGGTCAGCGGGTGGTGAGGTGTTGTATTCTCTTCCCTTGTTATTTCCTTTATCATTATTATCATTGGTGGTAGCAGTAGTGATTTGTGTTATACCTTAGTTACTAAACTGTTCTTATCTCAACCCGTGGGAGTTGCATTCTTTTGATTCTCCTCTCCGTCCCTCCGAGAGCAGGGGGAGGGCAAGAAAGGGGGGGAAGTGAGTGAACGAATTACCTGACTGGGTTTAAACCACGACAAGTTCACAATGACTGAGCCAAACCTTCTGATTCTTTCCATGATATCAGCTTCTTAAAGCATCTTCTTTAAGAAAACAGATATTTTTTAATTTTTCCCTCAATAAATATTATTTTGTTTTGTGCAATTACAACTACAAAAATAAAAGGAAATAGTAAGACAATGCTCTAATGTTGATAATGCCAAGAATATTCCCCAGTAACCCTTATGTGCTGAATATAAGGCATCAACATCTGCATGGTTGGCACCATAAGAAGCACAAGGAAATAAATGTAGAAATATGATAAATCTATTCCAACAGCTTTACTTTGAGCTTTCTCATGGAAAGTCTCATTACAAGAATCAGACACTGATAATTTGGTGAAAGATTTGACCTTTATAACTATTAAAAATTTCTTGAACTTTAGTAAATTTTAAAAGATGCTTAAAAATATTACAGATAAAGTGAAAACATTCTTAGGGGGTTTATTCAATGACATGTTCATATTTATTACAGTACTTCTTAACTTTTTCCTAATTTTTCTGTTAACTTGAGGAGAGATCCCAAGCATCTGAGACTAAATACATATACCTAAATGCAACAAAATATTCTCACAGATTCTCCTCTCATCCTCCTCTCTGTTTTGTTCACAGAAATCCTCAAAGCAGTCAGGCAACAACAGTTCCACAGCATTGGCAACAAACTGCTCTTCAGATTCTGACAACAGTATCACCATACATGGCTTGAAATGTGATGAAATTAAATTGTAACACACTTTAGGAAAACTTGTTTCACATACTTATCTTAAATAGATGAAATACTGTTTCAGTTCTATGCTAAATACCTTCCCTGTTAGAATGTGAAATCTTTATGCAATCTATTCCTGAAAGGTAAAATTTGATAGCTTTGGGTAAGCGAGAATAATGGTTAGATTCAATTTGGGTTTAAAATCCCTGATACTTTTTGACTTGCCTATCTCAAGGGCACTTTATGAATGGTTTATTTTGAGTAATTGACCTAAATAGTAACTGATTTAATAATTTCTTTTGTTTCAAAGGATTTCACTAAGTCTGCTCACATTGACCCACTTATACTACAGAGTAGTACTACCACTAACTGACTTCAACTGTTTTTCTCATCTATCAGTGTCTTAATTCTCTATGAAGCACTAGTAGGACCCCCATCTAACTTTCTGAGTAAGGTATTTATGGCTTGCAAAATTGTTGGTCAAGTTTCAAAGGTGTGTAGTCTCACACTATAGATCTAGACCTTCCACAGACAGGAAATCAAAAGCAATAAATGGGACATGCTCTATTTGCTGCTGACATCTATCTCATGTGCCGCAAGCTGCACACGTCTAATAAACTTTGGACTCACTATTCACCTTCTACAAAACTTTTGTGTTTATGTGAAGCAACTATTTACCTGGACATGAGTACTGCAGTGATCACAAGAGAGTAAGTGGTAACTGTGGGGTAGTTTAAGGATGCTAAAACACTGTGTGTTGAGGAGAGAGGAGAGAACTGAGGAGCTTAGAAGTGGAAAAGAGGGGTTTGTTTCAGGGGCCTAAAAAAAAAAAAATTGACCACTTCTTGTGTTAGCAAAGTCAAATCAATAGGAGGCATGCAGAGAGGACTCAAAATGAATTTTAATGGCTTAGAAAAGCCTACGCTAAAAGTCTCTTTAAATTTGAAGTTGATACTTACACTGATCTTACTTAAGTTACGTGCTTGTTTCTTGTATTTTCTAATGATCCCTTATACTATTAGAGGGTACATGGTCATTAGAACTGCCACTCACAACAGACAGAATGCAGTAATCACTTGGAAGTTCAAGAGAAAACAAAGCACTTCACATTTACTTTGTGCCCCTAAATAACCTAGCACAACTAGATCAAGACATTACAATAGTGCATACAGTATGAGAAATAGGCTTTTTTTCCCTCTCATTTTAAAAAAGAAGTAGTACACCATGTACCAATCTGTTCATTAAAAAACAGGTCTCATAAAAGCCTGTACTCCTTTTCATCAGCAACAATTGGAAATAAGCTTGTGATTTAGAGATTCAAATGCTGTTCA